ACACACACACACACACACACACACACACACACACACACACACACACACACATGGTCATGGTCAGCCAGTGCTCATCAGGAGAAGCTCAGGGTCAAAGTCATGTTCTCAGGAGGAATATCCTTTCCTGATAGGGAATTGGAGATAGTAGTGAAAGATGTTTCCAGAAAAACAGTGCCCACCTTAGCGTGGCAGCCTGCTTCTTAGGTAGCTAGTGAGAGGTTCATTACAGCTCTTTTCAGTGGGAGGCTGTACAGGAATGCAAGCACCTGCTACCCTCCCTCTACTGGCACCTGTTTACTCCTTTGCCTTTAGGTTTGGCAGTATGTGGGCAGAGGCAAGCCTCCATTTGCCTCCTGATCAAGCTTGAGGGCTCAAGTCTGGAAACCTCCATGCTGTGGGGAGGGTTGGAGGTTCCCTGGTGGAAACTCAGGAATGGAGGGCGGGGGGTGAGTGAGTGGATTCTGAGAAGAAATGGAGAGAGGGAGAGAGAATACAATGTTGTGAGGTCTCATGCTTTCTGACCCCCCATCTCTCTGTAAGTCTTCTTTATGTGGTAAAAGGCAACAAACAAGCTAGGAAAAATGACAACCTCTGTTCCCTTTATACTGAACTGTTCAGTTCAGTGGTGCAAGTGAGCCTTCATCCTCATTTGCGTAATTCCATCGTTGTTCTGTATGTTGTTAGAGGTACTTGGTGATGGGGCCTGCTGTGTGGTCTTATTATCATCACTGTAGTTGATGTTTAATAAATACTTCCTATATGCCAGGCTCTGTTTCAAGGACTTTAATTGTGTTAACACCTTTTTAACCCTCACATTAATACTTTTATTTTACATGTTTTTTGAAAGAGAGAGGTATATACTTCTATTTTATTTTATTTTATTTTTGAAAGAGAGCACAAGCAAGGGAAGAGGAGGAGAGGGAGAGAGAATCTTTTTTTCTTTTTTTAACATTTTTATTTACTTTTGAGAGAGAGAGAGAGAGAGAGACAGACAGACAGACAGACAGAGTGCAAGTGGAGGAGGGGCAGACAGAGAGGGAGACACAGAATCAGAATCAGGCTCCAGGCTCTGAGCTGTTAGCATAGAGCCTGACACGGGGCTTGAACACACAAACCATGAGATCATGACCTGAGCTGAAGTTGGACACTTAAGTGACTGAGCCACCCAGGCAACCCAAGAATCTTAAGCAGCCTCCACACCCAGCTCAGAGCCTAAGGTAGGGCACAGTCTCATGACTGTGGAATCATGGCCTGAGCTGAGATGAAGAATTGGATGCTTAACTGAATTACCTAGAAGCCTCTACTTTTATTTTAGAGATGAAGTAAGGCTCAGATGTGTTAAGTACCTTGACCTCGATTGGATCTAGGCCATTTGGATCTAGAGCCCATGCTCTCAATCATCTTCCCATCCACAGATCCCCCAACATGAGAAATTGCAAGAATTAATTCTTGGAACTGCTAGGTTATCAAGATGGGTGCAGCAATAATTGATGGCTTGGAAGGGCGCCTGCATATCGTCAGTGCTATTATGATCAGTGTTATCACTAGCTCTGTGCTCTGGAGAAAGATGGTAGAGCCTTCACTCTTTGTGTTCTGTTTGTGTTCTCTCCATGGCTGTAGTATAGTGAATTGCACTTGGGTTATTTTGATTATCTAGATAAACTTTTCATTGAGAGGACTTGATTTGAAAACAAATTGGAAAAAAAAGAGAGATCTTGCTTAGTATTGATGGTCTGATGATATTACAAATTCCACACCACCTGAAGTGATCACCAATAAATAGGAAGCCTGAAAAAGATTCTGAGGAGCCTTAGTTAAGTCCCTGCTTCTATAGAAAAAAAGGCATTGATTTGTTTGTTAATTAAGATGGTTTGAACCTCACATTTCTTACAAAGAAAAGATTCCTGGTGACTTTTTTTAAATAAAATTTTTTTAGTGTTTAATAATTTGGAGTGGGAGAGAACACATAAGCAGGGGGAGGGGCAGAGAGAGAGAGGAGAGAAAGAACCTCAAGCAGGCTCTGTGCTGACAGTTGAATCTCATGAACTGTGAAATCATGACCTGAGCTAAAATCAAGAGTCAGATGCTTAACCTACTTAGCCACCCAGGCACCCCTCTTAGTGACTTTCTATCTTCTACCCACATATTCCCTATATGCCTGGGGTGTGCAGAGCAGTGGGCTTGTGGAGCCCAGTCCATCCCTTCAGGAAGATACTAGAAGAAACTGATGATACGTTAAGTATGGATACAAGGCAAACAATAGGATGGGATTTAAACTGAGTACCCCTGGGGTCAAGTCAAGACTGTCCCTTTCCAGGCTGGCCTGAAGTCCCAGTGTTGACAGCTATTGACCACCACCCTTGAATTTTCAGAGCCACAAGGACAGAAGTCCTGTTGTGTGGTTTGGGGGAAGCTGTCGTTGGAGGCTTTGTCTTAGTTGTTTAAAATGGTGTTCACGGGGCGCCTGGGTGGCTCAGTCGGTTAAGCGGCCAACTTCGGCTCAGGTCATGATCTCGCGGTCCATGGGTTCGGCCCCGCGTCGGGCTCTGTGCTGACAGCTCGGAGCCTGGAT